CGGGTGGGCAGCTGAGGCCAGGCACCACCACCCAGGGCACCTGCAGGTCCAGCACCCGCCATGGGAGGGGCCCCTGCCCGGGGCCCACACGTCCTCACACCTGGTCCCTCACTCACATACACATGTACACACACACACTCACATACAGACACAGACAGACATACACACACACACACTCACACAGACACACTCGCATTCACAGACACACATGCACACTCACACACACACACGCGCGCACAGACACATTCACACTCACACAGACATGCATATTTGCACACACTCGCGCATACTCATACAGACACACTTGCACACAGTCACACATACGAACACATACAGACACAGACATATGCACACACAGACACAGATACTTGCACACAGACACACTCATGCACACAGACACACACATGCACACTCATACAGATGCACACATGCACACAATCACACACTCACCCACGTGCACACAGAGACATTCACACACACACACACACACACAAAGACAGGCACATGCACGCTCACACTTATGCTCACACATACAGACACACATGCATGCTCACACAGAGGCACTCACACAGACACACTCACACAGACATAGACTCACACACACCCTCCCCTCAGTGGACATGACAGCTCTCTGCCCCCCACCCCATGGCTGTAGCATCTGCCCTGCCTGGGCGCTCTCTCCCTGGAGTCATTGCACCAGCTGGGGGAGGGGTGTGGCAGCGAGAATTAGGTCCATCGCCCACCGGGGCTCCCCATGCTGGGTGTGACCCCCCGCCCAGGCCTGGCCAGCCCATCCCCACCCTCATCACTGCCCCCCTCACTCCTGAGCACCCCCAGGGCTCTCTCCTTGTCTTCTGTTGGAGGGGGGCGTCCCCGTGTCCCTGGGTGGGCACAGGGGTGTGGGAGGCCCGGCGAGTGACCCTGCGTCTCGCCGCAGTTCCACGCCATGGACACGCTGCACAGGAGCGTGTACGACGTCGCCAAGGCCATCTCGGCGCTGGTGCCGCAGGGCGGGCCCGTGCTGTGCCGGGACGAGATGGAGGAGTGGTCGGCCTCGGAGGCCAGCCTGTTCGAGGAGGCGCTGGAGAAGTACGGGAAGGACTTCACCGACATCCAGCAGGACTTCGTGAGTGCGCTCAGCCCCGCAGGCGCATCCCTGCCGTCACGGCTCCTCGCGCGCCCCGGGGTGGGGTCAGGGCTGGGCGTCACGGTCCTCACCATCTTTTTCTTTTTTAATAGATTTTTGTTGATCTCAGAGAGGAAGGGAGAGGGAGAGAGACAGAAGCATCAGTGATGAGAGAGGATCATGGATCGGCTGCCTCCTGCACGCCCCACACTGGGGATCGAGCCCACTACCCGGGCCTGTGCCCTGACCCGGAATCGAACCCGGGACCTCCTGGTTCCCAGGTCGACACTCAGCCCGAGCCAGCCAGGCTGCTTGGTGTTTTTAACCAGCTGACCTCCCCTTGCCGTGTCCTCCACGTGTGTCCCTTGAGGGTGTGTACGCGGGAGCACGGGGCTTGTCCTCACGTGGGCCAGCACCCTCGGGCCCTCCCGCCCCGTCTCCTGAAACACTTGCCCTCCTCAGAAAGGACGAGGGGCCTGGGGTCGCTCTTGGCTGTGTCTGTGCGGGGGGTGGGGGCGTGACCAGGAGCCCATGGGGTGGCAGGCGGCCCATCCCGAGGGCCAGAGGC